AGTGGTCGCTTTTCTGTTCAGAGAGTTGTTGCTATTCTTTTCTTCGATCTCCTGTTGGGCTTGTAGGTGTTCAGAATGGTTTGATCCCTATCTAGCTGAATTCCTGAGAGGAGACGAAATCCAGGTCTCCTACTCCTCCGCCATCTTGCTCCGCCCCCCTCCATCCTATTTTCTAATAGAATTTTATTACATTCTTCATTGATAAAGGTGCAAACTAACTAAATAAATAAACAAGCCAAACTTTAGTCTTTTCTGACATGTTTGTGATTCCTATGACTATTGGAAATACTTTAACCCTTGGCATGGATTATTATGGGTCACTAAAGCACACTCTCAACCAGTGTTTGATACATGTAGGTCTAACAGGTAATCCTGGGATTACATCCTTTTGTTTCTTCAGTTTTTTCCAGGGATATGGAGGCAGTGTACTCCTGGGATAAGATTGTATGAGTTGGTCGGGGCAGCAGTGATGATGGAGTAGAAAAGCACCAGGAGTCTGTCTACCACCTGTACAATAATTACATTGGAAGAATCTGTCTGATACAGCTATTTTAGAACTCTGGAGTCTATCAAAGGCTTGCAACTTCCAGGGGAAGGCATGGTAAATTGCAGTTAATTTTGATACATTTTAGCTCATAGCACAATAGCAGCTGCCCATCTCCCACCCTGAGTCCTGTGGCAGGAAGCTAGCTATGCACATGCTCCTGGAGTAGCTCACACACAGCTTATGGGAGCCAGCGAAGACAAAAAAGACCCTGTCCTCCCAATGTTGAGGCTCTGCGCTCTGATCACTGATCGCTACACCTGATCACAGGCTGCAGACCAAGCGGCAGTAGCCACTGTTGTACCTCTCTCCCTGCTGCAACCCCCTCCACCTCCAGCTGAAGTGACTTCCAGGGGACTTAATGGGTCAGCGCCCTTTTTCTTACCCCCTCTCCCACATTTTTTATCTTTTTTCCCTCTGGGGTGCCAGATATTAAAGACGAGGACATTTACAACAAAGGCACATGTGGGAAAAAATGTAAAAGTGACTGTATATGGCCAGGGAAATGAACAGGTTCAGGTAAGACCTGAGAAGACCTTAAGTTAACACCTTAGTTTGATCCTTGGTAAGAGACAGCCTACAACAATAACAACAAAAAATAAAAACAATAAACAAAAACCGTAACAAAATAGCAAACTCCGGGGAATGTGGAGAATCTGATTTCCAGTTACATTATTAGATTCAGATGTCTTGTTTTCTACAACAATAACAAAAAAATAAGGCATACAAAGAAACAGGAAAGTATGGTGCAAAGGAAAAAATAAATGGACAGAAACCATCCCTGAAAAAGATCTGATGGCAGATCTACTAGACAAGGACTCTAAAATAACTCTTAAAGGTGCTCAAATAACTAAAGGATGATATGGAAGAAGTAAAAAAAAATGATGTATGAACAAAAGGGAAAGATTGGTAAGGAGACAGAAAACCTAAGAAGAAACCAAAAAGAAATTCTGGAGCTGAAAAGTACAATACCTGAAATGAAAAATTCACAAGAGGGATTCAAAGGCAGATTTGAATGGGCAGAAGAAAGAATCCATGAACTTGAAGATAAGACAATGAAAATAATCAAGTCTGAGGAACAGAAAGAAAAGACACTGAAGAAAGGTAAACAGAGCCAAAGGGACGTGTGGGACACCATCAAATGAGCCAGCACCTGCATCATGTGAGTTCCAGAATGACAAGAGACAGAGAAAGGTGCAGAGAATATTTGAAGCAATAATGGCTGGAAACTTACCAAATTTGATTAAAGACATGAATATAAACATCAAAGAAGCTCAATGAACTTTAAGTTCTGAACTTCACTAAGACACATTATAATCAAACTTTTGAAAGACAAACAGAAACTTGAAAGCAGCAAGAGAGAAGCAACTCATCACATACAAAGGATCCTCAATAAAATAATCAGCAGATTTCTCATCAGAAACTTTGGAAGCCAGAAGGCAGTGAGCTGATAGTTATTACCACTAGACTTGCTCTGCTAGAAATGTTCAAGGCAGTCCTGCAGGGTGAAATGAAATGACAATAGACAGTAACTCAAAGCCATATAAAGAAATAAAAATCCCAATAAAGAGAAATGCACAGGCAATTATAAAAGCTAGTTTTAAGGTAACAACATTTTGTAATTCCACTTTTTGTTTTCTAAATGATTTAAGAAGTTAATGTGCTAAAAAGAATTATTACTTTATGTTATGTAAAAGGTGTAGTTTTGTGATTTCAATAATCAAAATGGATAGGGACATAGCTGTAAAGAATCAGAATTTTTGTGTTATTGAAGTTAAGGTGGTATAAATCCAAATTAGAATGTTGTAACTTAGAATGTTAAATGTAATCCCATGGTAATCACAAAGAAAATAGCTATAGAATATACACCTAAATAAATAAATAAATAAATAAAATCAACTCAACACAAAAGAAGACAGTAATGCAGTAAATGAGGGGCAAAACAGCTATAAGGCATAAAGGAAATAGAAACATAACAAAACTAAGTCCCATCTTTACCATAATTACTTTAAATTTAAACGGATTAAACTCTCCAATCAAAAGACAAGATCAACAGGATGGGTAAAAACACATGATCCAACTATATGCTGTCTATAAGACACTTTAGCTCCAAAGGTACAAATAGATGGAAAGTAAAAGTTGGAAAATTTATTCCACACAAATAGTAACCCAAAGAAAGCGGGGATATCTATACTGATACCAGACAAAACTAACTTTAAAACCAAAATGCACATGGGACATTTTCCAGGTTAAGTATATGATATGAAGGTGTTGCGGCTTTATAAGCGGGCGCTGCACCACCTGGAGTCTTATTGCGTCCACAGGGACAAATACCGGTACTTCGCTTGTTTGATGAGAGCCCGGTTTGAAGAACATAAGAATGAGAAGGACATAGTGAAGGCCACCCAACTGCTGAGGGCGGCTTCCTCCAGCGGCCGCTCTTTCTGGTTTTTTAATGTGTTTATAGCTATAGGTTTCCCCTTAGGACTGTTCTCACTGCACTCACAAATTTTGGTTTGTTGTGGTTTGTTTTTTGTTTTTTTTTTCCCCATCTATTCCTAAGTATTTTCTAATTCTCCTTATGATTTCTTCTTTGAACCTTCAGTTGTTTAAGAGGGTGTTGTTTAGTTTTTAGAAATTTGTGAATTTCAGGGAAGATGTATGGCTGAGGATGCTGATTGTGCCAGAACTCCTGAGTCTCCAGGAGGGACCTCCTATGAGAGATATGAGTGTTACAAGGTGCCCGAGTGGTACTTAGATGACTGGCATCCCTCCGAGAAGGCAATGTATCCTGATTACTTTGCCAAGAGAGAGCAGTGGAAGAAGCTGCGGATGGAAAGCTGGGAGCGGGAGGTTAAGCAGCTGCAGGAGGAAACCCCAGTTAGTGGTCCCAGCACTAAAGCTTTGCCCCTGGCCCGGAAGGAAGGTGATCTGCCCACGCTGTGGTGGCACATTGTGACCAGGCCCCGGGAGCGGCCCATGTAGTGGGAGAGGGAGACACCCTCCAGCCAGTCGCACTTGCAAGTGAAATAATTTACAGCACATAGACACACTTGCCCTAATAAAAGTAACTCAATACGGTAGTAAAAAAAAAAAAAAAAAAACAGAAAGATCTCCAATCAATGACCCAACTATATATAACTTAAGGAACTAGAAAAAGAGGAGCAAATTAAACCCAAAGCTAGCAGAAGGAAGGAAATAATAAAGATTAGAGCAGAGATTAAAAAAAAATAGAGAATACAAAACCAACAGAAAAAAAATAAATGAGGGGCACCTGGGTGGCTCAGTGGGTTAAGCGTCTGTCTTCGGCTCAGGCCATGGTCCCAGGGTCCTGGGATCGAGCCCCCGCATGGGGTTCCCTGCTCAGCAGGGAGCCTGCTTCTCCCTCTCCCTCTACCTGCTGCTCCGCCTGCTTGTGCTCTCTCTCTCTCTCTCTGTCTGTCTGTCAAATAAATAAACAAAAAATCTTAAGAAAAAAAATAAATGAAACCAAAATTTGTTTCTTTGAAAGGATCAACAAAATTGACGAGCCTCTAGCTAGACGAACTAAGAAAAAAAAGAGAAGTTTTGAATTACTAAAACCAAAAATCAGAGTGGAGACACTACTACTAATTCTACAGAAACAAAAGGGATTATAAAGGGGTACTGTGAACGACTATATACCAACAAGTTGGATAACATCCATGAAATGGATAAATTCCTAGAAACAAAATCTACCAAAACTAAACTATGAAAAAATAGAAAATCTGAATAGAACTGTAACTAGTAAGGAGATTCAAACTGTAATCAAAAATCTCCCAACAGGGGCACCTGGGTGGCTCAGTCGGTTAAGCATCCGCCTTTGGCTCAAGTCATGATCCCAGGGTCCTGGGATTGAGTCCCGTGTTAGGCTCCCTGCTCAGCGGGGAATCTGCTTCTCCCTCTCCCTCTGCCACACTGCTTGCTTGCACACCCGTGCTCTCTCTCTCTCTCAAATAAATAACAAAATAAAATCTTAAAAAAAAAATCTCCCAACAAAGAAAAGTCCTGGACCTGATGGCTTCACTGGTGGTTTCTCCCAAACATTTAAAATAAAACTAATACAGGGCGCCTGGGTGGCTCAGTTGGTTAAGCGACTGCCTTCGGCTCAGGTCATGATCCTGGAGTCCCGGGATCGAGTCCCGCATCGGGCTCCCTGCTCGGCAGGGAGTCTGCTTCTCCCTCTGACCCTCCTCCCTCTCATGCTCTCTGTCTCTCATTCTCTCTGTCTCAAATAAATAAATAAAATCTTTAAAAAAAAAAAATAGAATGATGTGTTGTCAAATACTATGCTATCTATAATGATCATGAAGTATTGTATGTTTTAAAAATAAATAAATAAATAAAATAAAACTAATACCAATCTTTCCCAGATACACAAATAGCCAATAAGCACATGAAAAGATGCTCAACATCACTAATCATAGGGGAAATGTAAATCAAAACCATAACAAGATACTACCTCATACCCTAGAATGGCTACTGCCAAAAAACCAGGAAAATAACATGTTGGTGAGCATGTGTAGAAATTGAAACCCTTGCACATTGTTAGTAGGAATGTAAAATATATAGCCACTGTGGGAAAAAAATGTGACAATTCCTCAAAAAATTAAAAATGGGACTACCATATGATCCAGCAATTCTACTTTTGAGTATATATGCAGAAAATAATTGAAAACAGTGTCTCAGAGATATTTGTATATCCATGTTCATGATCACGTTATTAACAATAGCTAAACCTTGCAAGCGACCGTAGGTGCCGATGTACAGATAAGCAGTGTATGCATTGAATGGAATAGTATTCAACCTTAAAAAGAAAAGACATTCTGACATATGTTACATCCTGGATGAGCCTTGAAGACATTATGCTAAGTGAAATAAGCCAGTCACCAAAAGACAAATACCATGTGATTCCGCGTAAATGAAATATTTTAGAGTGATCAAAATCATAGAGACGGAAAGTAGATTAGTGGTTGCCAGGGGCAAGGTGAGGTGGGGAATAGGGAGTTATTATTTCATGGGTATAAAGTGTCAATTTTTAAGATGAAAAGAGCTATGGAGATGGTGGTGGTGATTGCACAACATGAATATATCTGTACACTTAAAAATGGTTAAGATGGTAAATTTTATGTTATGTATATTTTGCCACAATTTTTAAAAAAAGCAATAGCATCATGGAAAAAAAAAAAAAAGATTGCATGAGTTACGGTGTGTATCTGCCAGTGAGGGTAGGAAGAAGAGCTTGAGCTGATGACTTGGCCAGATATTATCTGCATGGTAGAGAAATAAACCCATTTATTTGTCTTAGTATAGCAAATCCGTGTACCACAGCTTGGAAAAGATTTGAAATACAGCCCTACTGGATCTTTTGATCTTTGAATCAGTATCATGATCTAATTGAATTAATACATTGATAAGAAGTCTTGCGGCGAGAGTAAATTTTGATGATGTATCAGATATGAAGCCCAGACCCTGCTAGATATCCTGCGTGTGGGGCACTGCCTCAAACCATATCCTTGTCCTCTTCATGGCTCTAATGGGGTGTTGCTTATATCAGTTTAAGGCCCAGAGGAGTAAGGGGTTTCTTAAAAGGAAGAGATTATCAAAGCGTGGCCTGGGGGCTGAATCTGGTGTGCTCTCTGTTTTTGTAAGTAAAGTTTTATCAGAACACAGCCACACTCATTTGTTTACATATTATGTATGGCTGCTTTTGCACTAAAATACGCCGAGTTGAGTACTTGGCAACAGAGATCACTACTTGCAACAGAGATCACGTGCCCCACAAAGCCAGAAATATTTACTACCTGTTCCTTTACAGAAAATTTAAAAATGCCCACCCCTGTTATAAGGGAGTAGGGAGAAGGAAGGATAAAGGGATAGGTTGGAGGCTCATTACTGGGATCTTAAATGGGGAGGCCAAGGTGTTCAGACTTTATCCTTCACTCAGTGAGGAGCCACCAGAAGAGTACTAAGAAAGTGCTAGGATGACAGAAATATGTTGAAGGAGAATTATAGTGGCTTTCTTCTACATGTTGAGAAAATGGGGACTAAAAACAAAAGGCAGGGAGCATGATTAGGAGGAAGCTGCAGTTATTCAAACTGAAGTGGTTAGGGTCCGGAGCAGACACTGTTGGTTGTCTGCCGTCGTTCAAACCCCCATCTTCCATGGTGGCAAGGCCCTGACTTTGCTAAGGCATCTATCCTCATGTGACCCAGAGAAAGATGATCTCATCCCTGACTCCTGGGTAAATGCCTGCCAACAATTGGTTTCGGGGTGGGCATGTGACCAGGGTGTGGAACTATACCACAGCTAGTCTTGATATACGCTTGGGTATAGAGTCAACCACCCAGTAGAGTGGGGCCAAGAGAATTGCAGGTAACAGAGGCAGAGCCATTCTACCTGTATATTTCTTGTTATTTAAGATAATGATCTTCCTATTGCTTCAGCCAATATGAACATCCTGATGTAAAGGCCAAGAGTAACAGTGAGTTCACAAAAGACATAGTTGGAACAAGAGATCTGTGAAAGGGAATTAGATCAATATTGAAGCTCTGCTATGGGGAAAGGGGAGGAGTAAATGTGGTCCTGGTATTTTAGTTCTGGTGACTGGGAACCTAAAATGCATTAATAGAAATGGGGAAATGATGGGCATGGCTCGCTGTCTTTGTTTTAGTCACGTTATTGCCCCATGAGGCCAACAGACATCCCAACAGGGAATTTGCTTTGCATATTGCTACATGACTCTACTCCAAACATGAGAATATGAGATAAAGTTTATTTGATCCTACAATATTGTAGCTGTGAACAAACATTCCATGAGTGTAGTTATGTGCAATATTTATTTTTTATTACAGATGTTTAAGTTATATAGGAAGGATGTATCATTTTATAGTGATTGTTAGATTGGAATAAAATCACTTCCTTGTAGAATTCAAATACCCATTTTTTTCAGGGTGAGAGAGCAAAATATTTTTCTAAAATTAGAAATTCATAGTAGAAAAAAATTCATTTAAGTATACATAGATAAGTGTAACTTAATTTCCTTATTTTTAAAAAATATATTAAATCCTATATTCATCTGTTTTTAAAATAATGCACAAGGAAGAGAAGATATCCAATAAAAAAGTAAGTGGTGAGTATGCTTTTATACTTACAAAGAGACAAACACATTCAGAGAGAAAGAGACAATAAAGATTTGGGGTGAAAGTGGGAAGGGAAGACAGTAGGAGAAAGAGATGCAGTATCTTTTCATTATGTAAATTCCCCCAGGATGGGAGCCTTGGTGCCATCCACAGCATGGCCAGGGCTGCAGATGAGAAGATGAGAAATCACAACCTCAAGTGTTGTTCTAGTCCCAAGAGGCAAATTTCAAACTCATTAATACTGCTTTAACAACATTTTCTAGACCAAAAAAAACCTCCAAAAACAAAACAAATGAGTCGATCAACATAACAGAAGAGTCCAGGAATAGATAAATACATACACAGATGTAGATACAGTCAACTGGTTTATGATAAAAAATGACACTGCAATATAGTGAGGGAAATCTTTTCAATAACTGGTTTAGGGACAACTGATTATCCATATGATTTTTAAAAAATGTACTTTGGGGCGCCTGGGTGGCTCAGTCGTTAAGCGTCTGCCTTCGGCTCAGGTCATGATCCCAGGGTCCTGGGATCGAGTTCCACATCGGGCTCCCTGCTCGGCAGGAAGCTTGCTTCTCCCTCTCCCACTCCCCCTGCTTGTGTTCCTGCTCTCGCTATCTCTCTCTCTGTCAAATAAATAAAATAAAAATCTTAAAAAAAAAAAATGTACTTTGACCCCCTACCTCACATGATAAGCAAACAAATTAATTTCAGAAGGACTGCAGATCTAAATGTGAAAAATAAGTATTTTAGAATAAAATATGGAAAGAGGTCTGCATGACCTTGGAGCAAGCAAAGTTTGCTTAAATGGGACCCACAAA